AGCACTTTGTTTCTCACTGAGGGCTGTTTGGAGTATATAGATAGTAGCTCTACCTCCAGTTGGCCTCAGAAGCTCTGGCTTGACTCTTCACAGCCTACGTGAGAATCAGATCTTGTCTATTAAGAAATCTCCAACATGTGGTGGTCACAAAAAGGGAGACTTGGATGGACTGATAATTTCCCAATCCGGTCACTGTTGATATTATACAGCTCAACTCTTGATTACTTACCTCCCCACAAAAGCAATCCGATAAAGAAACAGATGACTGTTTCTGTCGCCCTGTTTCTCGGTCGCTTTTATGGTGCCACTTTTTTACCCTCCACTGACACCATGGAATTAATAGGCTAAATGTAGCAGTATTGCGCGCTGAAGGTAAAACCGCAGCTGGAACTCGCCTATTGGGAGAGATGCGATATAGATTGCTGTCGGCTCGATTGATTTCAAGAAAATTTAGCCGCCGCTTAACTCTGTGGGAACTGGAATAGACCCCATCCCAGCACGCGTAAGGGTGGTCACTGACGATTACGGCCTCCTACCAACCTCGACCATCACCTGCCATCATGGCTGTGTCCCAAATGTTTGCTCGTGAATTACGGCCGGCCAAGATACTCCAGTCCACCAATTGCTTCTAAAACGGCGTTGCGGGCGGGCGTAGTTGGAGGATTGAGAAAAGTGAACCATAAACGACAGACCTTATGCTATCGTGCAAAGCACTTTATGCGACAGAATTCGTCGAAAATAAAAATTATCAAGAAGCACGTCCGTAGAAGGCGCCTTTCCCTCAGACGTGCGAGCCAATTGAATATAAGAAATCACCGATGAATCAACCTGATGGACGGTTGACTCTGCCACTGTATCCACAGCGCCTAAATCTCTGCGATTAAAAATTTTGATAGGCAGTTGAGACTTTTTCCGCTGGAGACTGACCCGCGAAATTGTAAGAATACAGCACCCTTCCGCGGTCTCTCTCCTGCCGTTATGAACTCAAATCATGGGAGTAGTTTCCTCATTCCGAGGGAAAGCCTTATGAGTGTGTTTCCCTAAAAGCGTTCGTAACTGCGCCCTCGAATGCTTCTTCTGAAAGAGCTCCATAAACTTTTTAAAGCTTTTTGCCTTTAAAAGTGACTAGAGCCTTTGTGAGGCTCTAGCTTCTTCAATTGAGAACAGCAAATTGATTCAAAATCTACGTTTCCTACTGATGCCGTTACAACACTGAAATTAGACGCATTACTGATGTCGCAGAAAATGGCTCGCAAGTCCCAAAATTCAGACCCGTTAGGGGGCAAAAGACTTCGTCGATGGCTCGGAGTAATTTAACCCTATGCTTTCATTTTCCGGTATTTGGCTTTGACTGCTTGAAAATGAAGCCACTTGACTGATTTTTACAGAATGTGGCTTCAGGTTGGCACACCCTTTTAGAATGGACGTGTGGGCGTTTCCACATCTTGGCTTAATGATATTTAAATTTTGACGAATCTCCTGTGACAACAGGTGGCCACTATCATATTTCGGACCATTTTATTTTGCAGAGCGACATTTACGGTGACACCCTGTGCAACGAAAACCTCGCTTGTTTGCATCATTTGCCAAAAGTCCCTACACCCACGTGTATGTACTCTCTATTTCGAAAGACAAGAAGAGCGTCGAGTGCAGACCATACACCACCAGTGACGACAGCCAGAAACTTGCCTCTTCGTCTTTGTTCATTGGCCCGTCGTTCATTTGTGGTGTGCGGTCTGTACATCCCCACCCCCCCCCCCCCCCCCCCCACTCGACGCTTTTCTCGTCTTCCGAAAGAGAGCTTACAATACCCTCAAAAAAGCAGTTCACCGCAGACGTCTTCTGCCAACGCTCCTGTTTGACTTCATAATTTGTTGAATATTTGAGAGCGCATTTTTCGGCAGCTATCAATTTCCCTCGTAGGCGCAGAAGGATCAATTCGGTTTTTTTCTCCTAAAATCCACGAAAAATCTTATTTTAATCCCGTGTTTTTTGCTTGAAATTGTTTCCTAATTGTCCATTTTTGTTAGCAGTTCGTAGTGAGAAATACTTTCTTTCATTTCGTGTTCAAGGCAGCGATCACTGTATGTAAAACTTCAAAGCAGAGTTCAACTGTTGACTTGGGAGTGTCAATGGTACACACTGTGGAACGAAAAAAAGCAGAGAAATTCGTCAAAGGGACGCAAAACGGGACCCCCTTTTTGTCGTTGATTTTCACACGTCAGTAGGTAACAGCTCACAAAGAGGAGTTATGAATGGGATAACCGCAACGCGTTCGATGGCACCATCGCTACCGAATCATGTTCTAAGCTGCTCGAGATGCTCCATTTACGCCGCTGCTGACGCGCAGCTCGTCCAAATCAACAAGTAAACTTGTGGGCGGGGCGACTTTCGGGGCGGAGTGCTTTCGAAGTCCTGCTCAGCAACCAGCGCACCTTTCCGTTGTGAAAGCGCCACACTTCGCCTCCTTGGCAGCCAAGTAACTGCTTCGTGTGGTGCATATGCTTCCCCGATGCGCTCCCTCTTTATCGTAATCGCTTCCTTAATTGGGCAATAATTAAGGTGAATGTTGAAGCGTAAAATTGTGTAGATGGAATTTTCGGGAAATGTTGTACTGGGTACGGCATCACCCAATCCATTCTATAATAGATCTGGAAAAAAGTTTTAATCAAATAAATGATCAATAGAGGCCATTAATCGGCCCTCCATCATGAAAAACGCACACTGAAATCGTACTGGAGCATTTTGCTGAAGATCGCGTGTTCCTTGCTCTACCTCAACACTACTATTGCACGTTCGTTAGGTCGTAGTTGATCGAGGGAATTTCTCATTATCCGTGAGGTTTCCTGTAATGCCTACGCACACACGCTCATTTCCATAGATACCGCATAGAAAAATTGCGGCATGCCAATTATCGCACGATTGAAAACGGTGAATTCAGTAGAAGTCGCTCGTTTTTACACTACGCATACCTATCTATGGGTGCAGGAACTATTGATGGTGAGGCAGTTCAGACTTGATAGAGTAAGGCTCAGCGAGTCTCCCTCCAGTGCTAATTTTAACAAAATTACCCATTGAGGAACACACAGCGAAATCGATTCAACATTCGCTGAAGTCAAATTAGTCATTAGCTCAGGCTGAACAAAGTTGATAATAGTGTGTGGAGCGATAGCAACGGCATGCAGGGCTCTAATTTGTTCCTCGAACTGTGCCACATGTCCGAATTTCACGGGGATTCCTGAAATGATGGGATGATCTTTGCAATTACGGATCTTTAAGTTTCACAGAAAACTTGGGGCAACTTTTTTTTGTTCGGCAGTTGGAAAGAAATCCTACTATTCCAATCTTCCTTATTCGTTGTGTTTCTCATGTGAGCCTTCTGCCCACGTCATAAACTTATAATTAAATATTTTGTGAACAATAAAGCACCATATCGAGTTAATCAGTTGAGGCTAACTTTGTTTTTACTCTGATATGTAGACAAACCAATCATCGTGAAGACTGTAATAAATTATGGAAAAGTGGAGTCAATGCCAGCTCGCTCCCATTATCATCAACAAAATTCTAGTGGGTACATATCATGATATATTTAAACCAGGGTATGTTTGGGCATCTTGCTCGATTGCACGCAGTTTGTTAACTGGTGTGCTTGACAAAGTCACCTTGAGCGAGGGCGGATCAAGCCTATGGGTGGACATAGAGCCAGGCTGCACCAGGACAGACATTGGGCCACGATAGGCTCTCGCCTACAATGCGGTGATGTGTAACTTTAAATGGGGCGATCTTGCCCGACAAAGATGTTCAATTCTGCTCAGAACATCGCTACAAGACCAGAAAGAAAAATGAGGTAAAGGCGTCGTCTACGGCTGCCAAGTTATCATACTTATCATACTACACCAGTGTGCAGCATTGAGTAGCGGCGTCAGTGTGAAGCCTATACAATAACTGTGTACCGCCCACCACAAGGTTGGGCACTTTACATTACCATTCGTGACTAAGCAGCCACCGGTGGCTGACAAGGTCTTACTTGGGACAATGGTATCCACCGGTGGCTGCCGTGTTTCAAATGGAATTTGGAAAGTTTTCTCTCCTGAAAAGAATCATCATACTCTCGCTCATCTACCCCAGCCCTGGGCAGTGGGAATTTCCATCCACTCAATTTTATTGTAGAAAGATCTCCTGACTCTCTTGCTGGTGCATAAATCTTCCGTGCAATGGGTAATTTGGATGGACGTTTTCGTATGATCTTTATGATCCACAGGTAGCTAGCGGCATTCTCAGACTGGCACAATATGAACTGGGGAGGAGAACAAACTTTTTAGATGTCAGATGAATTTCTGCAGGACGCATTGAGGTTGTTCTTTTACTGTACTGTTCAGAAGTTTTGAAAGATCTTTTACGACTCTGCAATTTCTGCGACCTTCCTAGTGAACTGTGCTTCATGGTAGGGCCGGCCCATAACATACATTATTATTTTGTTGAATAGCTCTCATCCGTGAATAGGGGAAGAGATTTCAAAGGGCTGTCACTTTTTGCTACTATAAACAATCAGCGCGTTTTTTGGATTTTTCCTATTTGCATGCCCCTGAGGAAATGAGCGACGAAAAATCAATCACTTAAGGTGGAATAAAGTTTGAATAGAGGATAGGGAAAAATGCACAAATTCTTGTTCATTGGTAGGCCCTCATATAGTAAAGAGGGGGAGAGAGTGTCTCTGGAACCCTTAGAGGGATTAAAGCGATTTTCCGTGAAGCCGGTCAAACAAATAATTGTTCATGAAACAAGAAGACTGGTCGTTGAGAACTCGTTACGGTGACCAGCGCTGTCGCGACAGAGCGATCGTTGCCACTGGGCTGGACTCTTCATGGATATTTTAGTTAAGAGTAGCAGAGAGGGAAAATTTCACAAAAACTATTTTACTTTATATGAACCTTCATGAACAGGATAGCCTGTGTAAATGGCCTTTCGTTGGCGCTAGTCTACTAGGGGGGAAGCACTGCATGGGGACTCAGACTTTTGGATCAACGGTAGGGCTTTCCCTCCTAATAATTCATGTTCAGCCTTATTTTCACACCAGCAGAACGGTCCCCATACCTTGGGCGCTGCGATGTCCCCTTTAGTACATCAGTACCTTTTTTGTTGATCCAGATCTTGCTTCGTTTACATGTAAAGTATAATTGCTAGACATTTTCTTCGCAGCAGTTAGCGTCATTTATTTAAGATATGTGTGAGCATGGACCCTGGTTCGGCGCAGGTCACTCTGACGTCCGATGGACCACCGAAACTGTTCACTTTCGATGGCGCCTATTACATGGATTCCACCGGGGAGCAGATATACAACGATATCGTCTATCCACTGGTTGAGGTAAAATTTTGTAATTTGTTTACAACTTCCAGGAATTTCAATGGAATTCTTGAATCAAGGGAACCGAATATATTTAGAATGTCATCGAGGGTTACAATGGCACGGTATTCGCGTATGGACAGACAGGATCAGGGAAAACATTCTCCATGCAAGGTTAGCGGCTTTTTGTTATTAGCGAATAAGTTAGTTTTAATATATGGATATAGAGAACTTAACAGCATTCTCCTAAGCTATTTAAAGACCTCGATTATTCTATATTGACCTATTATTGAGCGATTATCTCTCCAGGTATTTGAGAATGACCTCATTTTTCAATTATCATAAATTTTTTGAATCTGCAATCACTCCGGTATCTTCAGGAACAACTTGCAGTCCGTCTTCAGGTATTGCGAGCATCCCCGCTCAACGAGGAATCATTCCACGAGCATTCGAACACATCTTCCTCGCTACAGCTACCACGGAGAACATGAAGTTTCTCATCCACTGCAGTTACTTAGAGGCTCGTTTCCTGTTCTTACTTTTTTCTTATTTACGCCTAAGCATTGTGTCCTCATTCTACCCATTTCTGTGGACATTAGTCAAGTAGCTTCCTGAACTCAGGGCTGACTTCGGCACTGAGCGTATGCTGTCTTGCCACACTTAACCTGATTAGCACCTGGATCATAGAAGTGTGACCACTCTGGAAAGCAGGGCAACTTTTCCGTGATGGCTAAAGTTTCGCAATGGGAGAAATTACCAGGTCCCATAGTTTTCTCCTCTGAATTCCTTCAAGATGCTGAGAGAACAGTTTCATGCGGTTTCAGGAGACATTTACCCTCGATTTCCCTCCTCTCTGCTATATGTCCCTCTTCCACTTTCTGATAGATCGCTGTTAATTTCAGATCTACAATGAGGAAGTGCGCAGAACGAGAAATGCCATAAAGTTGGCAGATGCAAGTGTACGGCCGAAAATGTTATCATAGGGGAGCAGCTTCTAGAAGGAGCTCACCACAGACTGACCCTGTATCGCTTGTAGCACACCGCAACCAGAACCGGTAGTATACATCGTGCGTCTGTCGAGATGTTGCTCGGTGTTGTTCGCCGACGTGAAATCATGGGTCCACGAAGCCGTTGAATGGCAAGGTTCAAACAACGCGACATTTCTACGGATCGCATGTTGGAGCGACTTTGAACCAAGTATCTTTCTTACAGCAGTATTGATCGTGCATGGTGTTGGTACCCCGTAGATGTTCTTGAACGAAGACAAGAGCCAAGAACATCATGTCTTGCTAAAATACTATACTGGAACTCAACATATAATTTGTGGTGATCTAGCTAGCGGAATATGGGAGTTGCACTGGTAGAGTGTGTCTCTCATTTTCGAGGTAATTACAGCTTTCTCTTCTGCCCTGTAATTCCAACGTGTCCACGCTGGTATACCTTTGCGAGTACAGGCCATGTTAAAGGCACGTTCACTACCAGTCCATTGATAACGATACTATAAGGAACACTCTCTTGAATGAGTAGCTTCAGAAGGTGGGATTGCTTTGGCTCACTTCAGGGTCAACCGTCCGTTCGAACTGTTCGAACGAAGGGGTCGCATTTTGGTCGGAAGGGGGTCGCAATTTCGAGGACTGCCAGCCACAGGCGCGTGCGTGGCGTATCCGAGGGCAAGAATTGTTTGTGCAGACCGCATTAGATTCGATTAATTATGCACAGAGAGACAGTTTTAGGCAAATTACGGTGTTTTCCTTGAGGAATAAAGAACAGTTGAATGCATCCCTATGAAAGGTTTGACTTCTCGGGGCTGAAATTAAAGTTCTTCGGGACCTAATTTTCTGAGGACGATTCTTCCAGACAACGGTAAAACACATAAGAAAGCAGAAATCTCGTAGTCTTCAAAAATAATCTCGCGCCCTCCCCCACAAGTTCTCGAAGAAGTTTTATTGTGATAGCCCCCAAACGGTCGCAGGTCCTGCCAAAACCTATGCGAACATTCGTCGAACGTGTGATTTTCTCGGAAAATGGATTTTGAAAAACGGTTTGGAGCTTGTCAGAAAGAGCAAATCCTGCACTTTCACCCCATGAAAAAAGTGCATCACAGAAATGAAAATGAAGTGAGTTATGCCCGCTTAAAGCCCAAAAACTCGCGATTTCAAAAAAGGTTTGCAAACCCCTTTTTCTCCAAAATGTTCGAAACGTGTGATTTTCTCGAAAAATAAACTTTGAAAAACGGTTTGGTGCTTGTTAGAAAGAGCAAATCCTGTACTTTCACCCCATGAAAAAAGTGCATCACAGAAATGAAAATGAAGTGAGTTATGGTCGCTGAAAGCCCAAAAACTCGCTTTTGCACGAAAAATGTTCGAACGGGACAATTTTTTGAAAAAGGGGACAATCACTAAACTTTTTATACTATTTTGTTAGAGAAATATTTGAAGTTTCTGAAACTTTTTACAGATTTCCAAAATGTCGCATACGAAAGATTTTATGGGCCTTCAAAGTTGAAGGTGCGCCTTCTTAGAATTTTGGGTTTTCCACTTCTAACAGAAGTACTTTCCGGAGAGTTAGGCAATCCTTGTAGTTTTCTGAAGCGCACCTCAGGCACAGTCAAAATCTACCTCAACAAGTCAAAAAAGTACGTCCCAAGAAAGTTTATCCCCTCTAAAATTTTTTCTTCGCCGCGTCCCGTTCTTCCAGCGCCCGGGTGATACCTGCCGCGCTCCAAGGCCGACGCGACGACGCGCAGACGCTTTCTGGCGCAACGGATTCATGTCTAGCACTCTTATTAACAAAAACAGGGGGTCGCAACTGGACCCCCTCGAGAGCTAGGGGGTCGCAAAAATCCCGAAAATGTTCGAACGTGACGGTTGACCCTGCCCTGACTCTTGGCTTTAGTAAAGAGGAGGGTTAGGGGTTTGCACCTTATTGTCCGGATTGTTTTTCATTTTTTGCTATCTAGAACTATACTGAAATGTATAAACGCTGATTACAAGATGTAGTATTTGTTGATGTACGCGCATAGGTGCGCTATATCATAGCTATACCAGTTATAGGATACCGCTTGTGCAAATAAAGTTTGACCGACCTCAACTCGTAAGGGAAAGGAGAGTTACTATGCAACGAGAGAAAAAAATATAATTTTTGTCCAATCAAAGAAATTGTTGAGCAGACCACGTGTTCACCACTGATGACTCTAGATACAGTAAAAAAAATGCGGATCAAAGGAATCCTTCCCAGAAAATTATTGCTTTTTTCGCAGCAGTGTCCAAGTTCGACTTTGTATGACTTTGTATGTATGCGTTCCCGCCGCCAACATTTGTGACAGATGTCCGGCGGGAATTTGAACGCGTAGCAGTCCTTCGGTTTTTCGAATTGTTTACCAAAACAAATGCAATTTTTTGTTCTTTTCGTTCTTATCGTGAACGATGGCAAGCCAGTGATTTATGGGTGAGATAGAATCATGATTTTTCCGGGAAGGATTCCTTTGTATAACTAGGAATAGATAATGCAATAGCAAGGTCAAGAAAAAACTAAGTAGACCGCTCAAAGTCTATGTTCAGGATTCCTCCGTAGCCATTCAATTTTCACCGTTTATGTGGAGGGAATGATGGAAAATGGCTCGATCAGGACTGGAAAACTCAACCTCGTAGATTTGGCTGGCAGTGAGCGCCAATCGAAAACTGGTATGACACATAATTCCTCCTTTTTAATTTGCAGTATTTGGCTAGTTTTCTTTCTCATTTGCGCTATTCAATAATTTTCAGCTTTTTGTTTTTTCAGAGCAATATTTAGTTTTTTTGTATACCCAGACCTTGTTTCCAGGTGCTACCGGCGACCGCTTCAAAGAAGCAACGAAAATCAATCTCTCGTTGTCCGCTCTAGGCAACGTCATTTCGGCTCTTGTGGATGGAAAATCGAAGCATATCCCCTACCGAGACTCAAAGCTCACAAGGTTACTGCAGGTGAGCCTCTTCCCAGCTTTTTCGCGTCTATCACTCCTTCTTTAGTATCGATAAATCCTATACATCTTCTGTTTGTTCTAATTGTTTCTAGCTGTAATTGAGATACAATGAAGGGTTCATGTTGCTCAGT